AGTACTCTGTGCTCTGCATCCTGGATCAGGACGTGCTGCTGCAAGAGGACGTGGAGCTGATTGAGCTGCTGGAGCCCGGCCTGCTGACACTCCGCTCGTCGCCCGACCGCACCAGCGCCGCCGCACTGCCCCGACCCGCCGTCTTCGCCACACCCTCAGCATGGTACACTAATGACCTGCGTGGTCCAATTTTCACATTTATTTTGATGGGGGATGAGTTTGGAATGGTATCAAGTGTTTTGGGATCACAGGTTGGGGTGTACAGCAAAAAGACAAATACATCCGTCGATGTTTCAACCTGTGTCCACTCAGGGACTTGGCAGGTCTGATGGGCCCGGTGGCAGTTCTGCTGGGTCTGTGCTCGGCGTCCGGGGGCGCGTGGTCGCTGGCGGCCGCCCCCTTGGTCCTGGCCGCGCTGTGCTGGGCGGCGGCCCTGTGGAGGCGGGGCGGTGCCCAGCGGGCCGTCCACGCCCGGGCCTCGCAGCTGCGCGCGCTGATCCACAACAGCAAGACGCTGACGGGGATGTCCCGCAAGGCTCTGCGACTGGTGCAGGAGACAGAGGTCATCTCGCGAGGATTCACCCTGTAAGGTTGCATGCAAACGCTGGCGTTGTCGTCGTTGTTTGTGTCCGACTGCTGCATGGCGGGTCCAAACCTGCATGGTTTAAGAGGAGAGAAAAAAAAAACAAACAAAACAATGCTTAGCATCTTGTGCCCGTTACATACTGTACAACCCAGTGACCGATGTGGCTTCCTTCCATCGAAATAATTAGATCAGTATCAGAATAGAACAAGTACAAAATAAGGATAGCGGGTTACCATCGAACTCAAAAGGTGTCGGATGATGTTCCAAAAACCTCAAAATATCTTAGCCCTCATTTGCCAAATTCAGGACGGTGCTGTGTTCGTTCCATCTGCACCAGGAGTAGGTGACAAGAATGAAAAAAAAATCAGTGCTGACATCACTCATGTTCATTTGATCTCTTGTTCATACTTTCATACGGAATGAAACTGAAAAGCAGGTTGGAGCACGCTTTCTTCGTTTCATTCATTCGCTGTTTGACACGAGCCCAGATGATGTCAAATTTGCACGTCGACCTCAATGTTGGTACTTTTGAGGCAAAAGCCGAGAAAAAGCCAACTGAAACGGAGAGTGTGAAAGGGGCTATCGGCGCTTCATGTTGTCCTGTGTTGTGGTTGGTCCTCCGTCTTGTGTGTGTGTGTGTGTGCGTGCGTGCGTGTTTGATTTGTGTGTCCGCCTCTTACCAATTCGGGACGTCTCCACAGTTGTATCACATTTCACTTGTCAAGTTTGCTCGACAGGGTGAGTGCGGCCGGCACCTTTAGCAGGGCGGGGCTGGGAGCGTTGGCACCCCGTGGCCAACAGCTGATCGGACTCCGCAAGGCACTCTACCGGGCTCTCCGCTCAGGCTTCAGAGCCTCGCGACGGGCCACCTGTCACATGCTCAAGGAATATCCCTTTGTCTTACATGTAGATAAAAAATAACTTTCTTCATCATTACATGCATTCATTCGTTGGGCACTGTGTGTCTGAATAAGCTGCAGTCAGAGTACCGTATTCAATTTTTACAGAATATTAGCAAAAAGCTAACAGAGTTAAGTCGGAAGAGAAACACTTATGCGGAAGGAAAAAAACGGTCTTGTTAACAAAAGTTGTTGCGAGCTGTTGACACTGAATTTTTCCAAGAGGTCGCCAAGTTGAGTTTTTGTTCCCCTTAACGCCTCCCAACATTCCCGCTGAGCTCGGAGGTGGACAACGTGACAAACTATGTATCGGCGGTGCCTCTGAAGGAGCTGGGCCTGGGCCTGGGCCTGGAACACCTGGGTGACGAGCAGGCCCAGGAGCTGACTGACGACTACAGCTTGCCTGCCCTCAAGGTATCGTTGAATTGGAATCTCAAAGCAAAATAAATAAAGGTGCACTTTGAACATGCAAAGTGAGTCGATCACACTTTGTCTTCTTCCAGATGTTGTTCCAACTCTGGGTAGGGCAAAGCTCCGAGTGCTTCCGCCGATTAGCCCTTCTAATGTCGCCTCGCCGACTAGAGGAGGAAGGGAAGGAAGTCCTCGTTCCCAAAGAAGGTTCCTCCACGCTGCCTCTTGCTGCACCGCTGCACCGCTCCATCGGTGGCGTGACCGAGCCTCTCCATCACGCGCTGGCCGCCTGCCTCGCGGAGGTGCGGCGGAGCTACGACTTCCACCGCCACTTCGAGACGCAGGCCAGGACGTCGGGTTCTGACCGCGGCGATCGGGTGCGAGAGAAGTGCCGGGAGCTCAACACCCTCCACACGTCCATCCGAAGTCTGCAGCTGCACCTCAAGGCCCTGCTGAGCGAGTAAGACGCACACCAACGCTCAGCGTACATCTCCAGGTGACGGAGCCGAATGTCTCCCGTCAGGATGATTATTCTGGAGGATGACCTCGAGAAGTTGATGGTGTCCAAGGAGCCCGGCGAGCTGACTCTGGAGGGCTACCGGGACCTGAGCGACAGGCTCAGCCAGCTGCAGCCGCACATGCAGGCCAGCGCCGGATGCTGGGACGACACCGTCGTACAGGTGGAGCGCATGCTGAGGCGGGCCAACGACTGTCCAGGTAGGGAAGAGTCGCATCGGCAAAGTTTTGATCCTCGGGATCATGCGCGCTCACACTCCTCCTGCAGGTAACATTGAAGGTCCGGACCAGTGTGGGACCCCCATGTCCGAGATGCCTGATCCTCCTCCGTCCTATCCTCTGATCCTGGACAGAGATCCTGTTCCAGAAGAGCTGGTGAGCGCCGTCTTTGTCCCGCTCACTGTCCCAAAGGGGTTGAGGTCGACGTGTGAATGACAGCTCCTGATGTTGTCACAAAAGTTGTGACGAGAATATGAGCAAATGTCACTGTCCCAGACGTGAAGCCGCAACGGCTGTATGACCCGCTCTTGACGAGTGGAGTTAAGTGATTTCATCTTGACACCTATATCTCGGGTTCACCTTGACTCGAAATGATCAGGGGAGGACCACAAGCCAATTCTGTTATGTCTCTTTGCCTGACCAAAATGACTCGAATGTGACAGGAGTTTGAGGCCTACGTGTCAGAGTCAGACTCTGAAGACAAAGGAAAGGACTCCTGGTGCGACATGCTGACTCCGGAGGAGCGAGAACGTCAGCGACGCGAGCGGGAAGAGTCCCGCCGCGTGCTGTCCGAGCTCAAGGCGGTGCTCGGCATCCGCACGTCCGAGGGCGAGAGGATGAAGAGGAAGCAGATGCTGTTCAGCGACCGAGGTCTGGAATGTGTCGGCTCTGAATCTGTATGCCAGCGGTTGTTGCCATTTTCAACTGGCAATCAAAAATCCAACGAGTGACTGATTCTTCGAAGCTGGTTTGCATTTACTGTTGTTGCAGCTGCTTCCATTTGCTGTTCCGATGCTGCGACCGATCCGTCGGCCGCACCCGCTGCCTCGGCAGAAAGAGGCCGTGGCGGAGGACACAAACTCTCCGACTTCGCGGCAGGAAACGAAGAGGAAGAGCGGGAAGGAAAAGAGCAGCGGCTGAGCCCTGACCCCTCCGAGTTCAGCTGCGGTTTGGAGGCAGAGGAGGAGGCGACCGGATCCTCGGCGTGTGGCCCAGGAGGCGGCGGCGCATCAGAGTTGCATCAGTGCGACGGCGAGGAGAACCTGGACGGCTTGGACGGATTCCTCAAGCCCAGAGTTCCCGCCGTCTCCATCATGGACAGACTGAAGGAGATCCACAGCTCTGAGTCGCTCAGTTTCAGCTCGGCCGTGGCCGCGCAGGTGGCGGCGCGATCGCACTCGCTGGTCAAGATGGAGGAACAGACTTTTGGAGATGAAGAGGACGAGGGCGGTGAAGAGGAGCACTGATTTCTTGAGCTTGTGGAGGCATTGCAAGTTACCGTTCATGATTGCTCAGGTAGCAGAGCCATTCGAATCTGTGAAGATTTCCCTCACGTCAACACAAAATGAATACTTGTGGTACCGGTCTTGTTTGGAGACTCAATTCTACAGCGGGATCGGAAAAGAATCACGTGGGACTCCTCCAATAATCGCGTCAGGCAAATCTAGGGCCAAAAATGTGTCGTAGTGTGTCTTGTTAACGTTTTGTTTCTTGAGTGATCTGGTCGGGTTCTCTGATTCAAAGCGTGACCTTGTTGCGCAGAGGAAGAGTAAGTGAGGAGGCTATTTTAACCATCAGCGCTTTAATTTCAGGAGGGAAGCCTGCGCATTCATCGTGAGATCACCAATGTGCATGGACTATTCCTCAAACTGCTTCGATTGCTTGCTCGGAATTGAACACACATACACAAAACGAATCATTTCTCCAGAGAGAGGGACAGTCACAGATGAGACAGTCTTTCCTCACCTCACTCCGCCCTGTCCTGCCTTGCCTTGCGGGTGAGGTGTACACACCTTGTGCTTTTTCCAGCCTGAAATAAAATACGGTTCCAAAAAAGCATTTGGTGGATTGAGTTGTTATTCACAAAGCAGTTTGCTACTCGTGTTTCCTGGGCTGCAAAGACGGGGGCCCCAAAGAACAGGTCTAGTGGGATCACTTGATATGTGCCCCCCACCACCACACACACCCTCAAAGGGCAGGCCTGGCCTACAACAGCTGGACCTCCCAAACAAAGCCACCTCTGACTTTTTGTTCTATAGTCAGAAACCTGACAAAGTAGATTTAAATGACTTTCACATTTAACAAATTTACAGGATGATTATGAGCACCTACCGCGCAACTTTAACAACCTCAAACATTAAGGCTCATTTTAAATTTGGGAAGTCACAGCACAGCATTTCACGAAAGGGCTACAAAAAGGATATACGGTAGTCTGAACTTGTGCAATTTCCTCTCACGTTTACTTATTCAGCATGAAAATTTGGCCCCTTTTGTTGAACACTAAGCTATTACTCGGGTTTGTTTTGATATGAATAACAACGGGGTAATCACACCTTCCGCAATTTTGTTCTGCTTCACTATGTCTATGGCATAGATGAGTCAACCAAGAGCGTCAATAGTCATTTCCAGTCCTATCACACTGGGGGGGAACCCAACCTGTAACCCAATGGCATGACATAACTGCCCCTGCATGCGGTTGGCGGGTTTGTGATTTTCAAACACAACGCAAAAAACATGATCGGGCCACAAACCAATGACGTCAAACATTAATCATTTGTACGACTCTATTCAATTCCCCTCAGAGTGCATTTTTGCCATCGACGACTAGCTGGCCAGCCTCGAAAGCCAACGTTCCGAGTCGTCAAAGTGACGAAGTTCCCTGAACGCATTCGGATGACGCAGCCACTTACCCCGAGTACCCACAATGCCTCATGCTTACCTTAGCAGCGGCTGCAGCAGCAAACTGTCATCGTCATGGCGGCGGTGCTCGCGGAGAAACCTGCGGAGCAAAAACAGGTCCAGGAAGCCCAGATGAACGGCGAGACCGCGGATCGAGAGGACGGCGACCCGGTGGAAGAGGCGGCCGCGAAGAAAAAGAAGAAAAAGAAAAAGAAGAACAAGTCAAGTGCAGCCGGTGAGACTGTCACGATAAGGCTTAGCTTAGCAAATGCTACCTGTTGGTGGTGGTGCTGCTGCGACGGTGTGGCCATTTTTATAACGTGCAAACCCGGAAACAATCAGAATCTGTCTTCAAAATAAAACCATCTACACTGTTGGATTTGTTGTACATGTTGGAATTCCAGTCAGAACACTGTAGCGAAACCACAGTGACCTCTCTGTACACCGAGTATTGTGGATGCATTCTAGAAGATACAGTTTAGGAAACAAATTCAACATCGGCATGGCTTATTGTGGAATTTCAGCCGGAAGTACTCTGACCTGTTGAGTTGGACTTGTCGGTTCTCCCCGTTCGCCATGCGGGTTCAGGATCACTTTTGGAATTCAAGTCAGGCCTACCGAAGGACAAGGTGCACTCCCGCATCATCTGAAAAACAAATGCAAGCCGCCCAAATAATGAAATTGATTTTGCGACAAAGTTTATCCCACCGCTTGAACGATTTACATTTCCCTGAATCTTCACCAAGTTTTCCGGTTTTGTAATGGGGCGTTCAATTATGTAAGCTTGCGTCACTTCCTTATTGGAACAAAGTAGTTCAAATCAATAAATGGCCAAGTGTTAATTTGTGCACATCACTGTCCTGATGCAGTTTGCAGACAGAGCAGGTTTCCACACAGAAGTATTTTCAAACCAGTTTGACTTGTTGCAGGTCCAGAGGGCGACAGTGTTGCTGAGGTGACGAAGGAGCTGGAGAAGCAAGTGATGGAGGGGAAAGAGGAGGAGGAGGAAGGCGAGGAAGGTGGGTGGGCCCAAAAAAAAACTTGCCCTGTTTTCCTTTGTGCTTGTATTTTACCAAATACCTCTCGCCTTTCCAGATGCAGATGATGGCGAGAACTTGGCAGGGAAGAAGAAGAAAAAGAAAAAGAAGAAGAAAGCATGTAAATCGGCGCTTGGTGCGCCTTCAAAGTAACAAGGGCGGCGACTCATCCGGGAGGGTTTTGTGATATTTTTGTTCTCCCCCCCACCAGCCAAAGGTCAGACCGATCCACCATCTATTCCCATTTGCGAGCTGTATCCTGGTGGAGCCTTCCCCATCGGACAGGAGTGCGAATACCCCCCCTCGCAGGACGGGTAAGGACCCTTTCAGGCTAGGACAATTTGCGGTGTTTTTCTTTTTTTGTCTTAAAGCGCACGTGTGCGGCAGGCGCAGCGCGGCGTGGCGCAGCAGCAACGAAGAGAGGAGAGTGCTGGACAAAGCCAACGAGGAAGTATGGAATGACTTCAGGCAGGCGGCCGAGGCTCACAGGCAGGTCCGCCAGCACGTCAGAGGCTTCCTCAAACCTGGGATGACCATGATTGAAATATGGTGAGGCTGCACCCTGGCCCTCCCTTCCTTCTCTCTCCCCATCAATGACACCGTTTCTCCCGCCACACGCCAGCGAGCGCCTGGAGGATTGTTCCCGCAAGCTGATCAAGGAGAACAAACTGCACGCCGGCCTGGCGTTCCCCACCGGCTGTTCGCTCAACCACTGCGCCGCCCACTACACTCCCAACGCCGGCGACCCCACCGTCCTGCAATACGACGACGTGTGCAAGATCGACTTCGGCACGCACATCAACGGTACGTGGAGCGGATCGCGTCTCCACAACGGCGGTGATATGTTTGTTCGTGTCCGCAGGGCGAATCATTGACTGTGCCTTCACCGTCACCTTCAACCCAAAGTACGACAAGCTACTGGAAGCCGTCAGAGACGCCACCAACACTGGCATCAAAGTACGCCACGCGCAAAGAATGTTTTGGGTCTTTTGAAGACACAAAAACCACATTGGATTTTTTTTTCTTCCCCCAGAACGCCGGAATCGATGTGCGTCTGTGTGATGTCGGGGAAGCCATTCAGGAAGTGATGGAGTCCTACGAGGTGGAGCTGGATGGCAAAACGTACCAAGGTAGCGCATATGTTGAGTTCTGTCCCGACCCGAAGGACATATGTTGGGGGGTTCTACGCTCTCACTTCAATGAAAAAACATGATTTTTTTCCCCCAGTTTATTTTATTTAACATTTAAGATGCTTGTTTCCGTAGTCAAACCCATCCGAAACCTCAACGGCCATTCCATCGGTCAGTACAGGATACACGCCGGGAAGACGGTGCCCATTGTCAAAGGAGGCGAAGCCACAAAAATGGAGGTGGGCTTCACAACAGGATGACTCATTTTTTTTCTTTCTTCGAATTCCCCGATTAAGATTGCGGAACATTTTTTTTTGTGGTTAGGAAGGCGAGGTGTACGCCATCGAGACGTTTGGCAGCACAGGCAAAGGCGTGGTCCATGACGACATGGAGTGCTCGCACTACATGAAGAACTTCGACGTGGGCCACGTGCCCATCAGGTCGGCTTCTTCTTGCTTTTCGACATGACAACCGGTGAACAACACATGTACCATTTTTGTATTCCTCGGTTTTTCAAAATTAAAGTACATTTGTTTGCGAGTGTGAAGGAAGAAGAGGGATAACTGACCTGGCTTTTTTGGCAGGCTGCCACGGGCGAAGCATCTCCTGAACGTGATCAACGAGAACTTTGGCACGCTAGCGTTCTGCCGCCGCTGGCTGGACCGCCTGGGCGAGAGCAAGTACCTGATGGCCCTGAAGAACCTGTGCGACCTGGGCATCCTGGACCCCTACCCGCCGCTGTGCGACACCAAGGGCTGCTACACCGCGCAGTTCGAGCACACCATCCTGCTCAGGCCCACCTGCAAGGAGGTGGTCAGCCGCGGCGACGACTACTGAACGACTGCACGCATCACCAACACCACCACCACCACCACCAACAGACGAAACGGCGAGGACATGCTTTTTGACTTTTCTATCACTTCTTCTCCTGGTTAAACAAGCAGGAAGGTTTCAGTTTGTCTCATTTTCCCAAGATGGAAAACTGTTAACTGCCTTCCGGCACGTCCAACTCGGATCAAGTTACGTTCACCACTACGTTGGGTGGCTGCATTCAGTACGTTTGGCTTCTGTCGCTAAGAGCAGGGAATGAATGCCTCGCTTCCCGTTTTCAACTGCCCGGAATGTTTGTTTTTTTTTCTAAGGGAAAATAAATAAATTGCTCATCTATGTCTGATTGTCCTGACATGCGCAAGCACTGACCAGCCGACAAGTTTTCGTAGAAAAGTGGAAAAATATTCTCCTTTATTGAGGTAATTTTCTCTGGGGGGGCAAAAAAAAGTGAGGTAACAATTTGCATAGTGCGACACACAAATGGAGTAGGAGCTGATGTTTGACTGCTTTCGAGGAACCACGTTTGACGTTTTGTGTGTGTGTGTGTGTGTGTGTGTGTGTGCGTGCGTGTGTGTGTGTGTGTGTGTGTGTGTGTGTGTGTGCGCGTGCAGCGTTCTCCCATAGGGAGGTAAAATGTCAGGAGTGTGCTCCATTCAGTACAATCAATCCCCATGTGCTGTTGAAAAAAAATGCAGGTGGTGTTGAGTCAGGAATTACTTTCCTCAAGTAAAAAGTTTGGCCTATAAAAATAGATCTCCATTTAAGAAAAAGAAAAAAGGGGGTGTGGGGGGCACTTAAACTCATCTGTCAGGGATGGAACAAAAGTTACCTGCCATGATCCGACACATGAGGACTAAAAGTGAAGCTTTGTCCCGTGCTTTCCGGTCCTGCCAACGCCCTGCCTGCATACAAACAAACTAAAAAAAAATGGAGTTAGCAGGACTGTGCCTCCCCATCTACGACATGTTGCCTTTGTGTGCCATCCTCTCTCATCACAGATTAAACGTACAACTGCACGTTGTAGAAGCTACATCGTCACTGCCGCATACGGAAAAAGTCCTTTCCAACTGACGTGCTGGCCTACACGGGCCGGTCTTTGTCCTGAGTTAGCCTCTGCGTGTAGAAGAGGATGTAGGCTTGCGCTCTGCAAACCTCATCCACGGCACACACATTCATCTTGGAGTCGTTGCAGTGAACCCAGAAACCTGCCGGGAGGGAAGTCGCGCGGCACATTAGCGGGGAAGCCAGGACAAACGCACACCATCATTCTAATTGCTCTCTCTTTTCAAAATGTGAACAAAAGTTAAAAGCTCACCTCCTGCCGAGTTATAGCAGTAGGCGGTGTAGTGGCCCGAACCAAAGCCTTTGCCATGATGCATCACCACAGCAGACAGCTCATAGAGGAAGCGCTTGGCGCGCGGCGAGCCCGGCACGGCCGAGGGCTCGCCGCTGCAGTATGGCTCCATGTTGAGGACCTGGTCGAAGCTCACGTGGACGCCGATCTTCTCCCGGTGGTTGCGACCGGACCACCTGAGGATCACGCACATTTTCCTAAACCCTTATTATTCAACATTTTAACTGATGTTCCCCCTCCAACCCGCTTTATTTAATAAGAGGTCGGAAATGTGATCAAAAGTCTGCGGACTTGGGCCCCCTGACTCCTTATCTGAAGCCAACACTCTCGAACTTTGGCTCAAGTCAAGCCCCTCCCCCCACCTCGCTGTCCGTCTTCAAATCTTGTCTTAAAACTCATTTTTATTCTTTGGCTTTTGACTCAGGAGACTTTTGTTTTCTTTTAGTTTGACCATTTTTGTGCTTTCCGCTGTCTGTTATTCATGCATCGTTTGTTGCATAAATAATTTTTACTGCACGTACGGCACTTTGTATACAGCGCTGGTTGTTTGAAAGTGCCGATACTTGCACCACGGTGGTCCTACCTGAAGCGTTTGAGGTGCAGCCGCAGCACCTGAGGCAGCTTGCGGACCATCAGCTGTTTTTGTGCTTCGGTGAGGAGGACGGCTTTGGACGAAGAGCGCCTTCGCGTCGCTACTGACCAAGAAGAAGAAGAGGGGCGCGTCAATGTGGCAAAATGTCTTGTTGGTTTGAGCGTATTTCCACGGGAGGACCAATGAGCGTTCGGAGCAGGAACTATGGTTCAGGGCTAGCCAAACCTGATGCGCAAGGAGCACATTTTTTTTAGAATTATTATGATGAAATGGGACGGATGAGTTACGATGCAAATTTATTTGTCAAAAAGGTAAAAAGTACAACCAATGAAAATAAAACCCTGACTGTAAATTAATATGCATAATTGTTACATTTCATAATGTGTGTCCAGCTTTTGAAGAAAGTCGTTAAATTAGTGTGACAAATGTTTGATTTCTTTCACTTTTGCTCGCTCGTTTTTTAATTCGCATAAAACGGCAAGATTTTTTTAAATGGGATAAATCCATGACCTGACTAAAAATAATGCAACAAATAAAAGCTATCCGAACAAACGGTGTGAAAGCGTGCCTTACGCACAGTTACAGTGGTCGCAGGCGTAGATGTTGCCCTCCAGCGCTTCGGTCTCGGTGAACTTGGCCAACATTTCGGTGAGGTGACAGGAGGCCTGCGTGGCCGACTCGCGGTTGCTGTTGCTGTGGTAGCGCTCAGGGAACTCCAGCGACAGGTCCCAGAAGGGCTCCACCGTGTTGGAGCGGTGCTCGCAGGCCACGCATGTCACCTGCCGGCAAAGACGCAAGACGGCGTGAAAAAGCGTCAGCCGCGACGAGCCTCCAAGTTGCAGGCCGAAAAAGGCCAGCCTGTGCGTGCAGGCTTTTGCGCGTCACCTGGCTGAGGAGCTGCCCGTGAAAGATGGTGTTGACCACGCCGAGCACCTGCTTGATGAGGCGCTTCTGCGTGTGCGGCACGTCGGCGCCGGGTGTGTGCGTGCCCGTGCTCTCCAGCTCCTGCTGCACCTTGTCCAGTAGCTCGCACAGGAACTCCTGCGCATCCTGCTGGGCGTAGCCGCGGAATGCCGGGATGAGCTGCCACACTGAGTGTAGCATGGCGAACGGCGACACCAGCGCCCACTTGCCCGACCACATGACCTGGAAGAGGGTGTGCAGCTCGTGGCACAGGGAGATGTGCTTGGAGCTGGGCTCTTTGGGCTGGATCAGCTCCATGCTGCGGCCCCGCGAGGAGGCACCGCCGCTCAGGCCCGCCCCCGTCGCGGCCCCCCTCCTGTGGCCCGAGGGCTCAGCTGCCAGCTGGCCATGCACGGCCGACGCCAGCAGCTCCAGGGCCTGCGTGAGATCCAGGCGCAAGAAGCACTCCCTGAAGATGTGCAGGTGGCTCAGCACCTGCAGGATGGAGTTCATGTAGCACGTGTTGCCCAGGTTGCGCAGGCCCGTCACACCGGGGGTGACGGTGGGGCGCCGCTTGAAGGGCGAGCCACCCCCTTTGGTGGCCTGCTTTGGCCGAACCGAGGTTGGGCCGCCTAAGGATTTGTGTTGGCCGCCGGCAGATGAGTGACGCTTGGATTTGGCTTTGGATCGCGTCTTTCTGACGCTTTTCTTGCTTGTCGACACGACGGGAGTTAGAGAGCGGGGTGCGGATGATTTCCGCTTTCTGGGCGTTTTCGCGGCGGCGGCCGAAGCCCTCCGACGCAAGCGGCGGCTCTTCCTCTGCGGGGCGTTCTCCAGCTGCTCCTGCAGTTGCCTCTTGAGGGTCCGCCGTCGTTCTCTGGCCTCCCGTTTCTGCGCCTCCTCCACTTCGCGCCGGCTCTCCTCCTCTTGTCTGGTTCGGCCGCAGTCCGTCAGGCCGAACCAAAAGCGGAAGACGCGACCCATCAGTGCACGGCGGCGGTGCCACAGAGCGGTAAACATGCGGTCCTCGTCCCGCAGTTGCAGCTCACTGGCGCCACAGGGCATGGGGGCGTCGGCGGCCGAGCGGAGTGTGCGCCCGCTGCGGGTGGTGACCTCATAGCGTTGGCTCTGAATGGCGCTGAGGGTGCTGCGGAGCAGCTTGAGATCTCCCGTGGCGTTGTCGTTCAGGACATAGTCGTCGCACAGGTAGCAGAAGACGTAGAGTTCGTTGACCTCCATGGCCAGCGGGTGGCGCTGCTGCTTGAAGTGCTGCAGGGCGTGCTCCTCGATGTAGCGGCCACACGCCACGTGAGCGCAGCCCAGGCAGGCCCAGATGGACTCGCTGGTGTTGCAGTCCATGCAGTGCCACTTCTGCGGGTTGAGGATGGAGTGGTCCGGCGCCAGCCGGAGACGCCCCACGTGCTTGCAACGGTCCATCGCAGCGGCGTTGCGCCGCTCCCTCCCTCGCTCAAACCTGTCGCATGCCTCCGGCCCGTGTCACACTGGCTTCATATCACCCCGGTGACGAGAAAGGGCCGCCTTCCAAGGGCATGTTGATGTCTGCGGAGGGCGGGAAACGCCTTTACAAGACGTTCTTGGGAGAAACTGTCCAACAACTAAGAATTGCCAGCCATTGATCCAGCTTCCTCCCACGACTGGAGACTCTGAAAAAAGGAAATGAGAATGAATGCTTGTTTGTCTACTTGCATGATTAGCTGGCGACCAATCCGGGGTGCGCTACAACACACACACAACCCTATTGAGGATAAGAAAACCAAAAGTAGAAGGACTGACTCATCATCGCCACACAACAAATGAATCTCGTCTTGGGCAAATGACGCAGACTGACGAGTGGCAACAAGTTGGAAAACAACAACAACCAAGTTGGGATGCGAGCCACTCAACAACTTGGCGCCTACGACGATACAAGCTGGCATTTTTCTTTTCAATCTAATACAAATTCGGTCTGTCACTCAGCTACAAAATAAGAACAACAAGAGGTGTGGGCAAAACTCAGGGGAAATAAACAGCTCGCGCGGACTTGACACAGCAGTAAACAAACCCTCGAATCAAGCGTAAAGACAACAAAAACGACTGAAAATATGATCAAATCGAATTGTGTCACACACAAGGAGAATGTTGACGTCCACGTGGTTGTCACAGTTTGTCACATTAAGTCAAACCCGACCAACGAGCGAGCATGCTAGGCTAACTTGAGCCGGGCTAGCTGCTGCTTCATGCCGACAAATAGTGTCGGCTCCGGGCCCAACATTAACGGCGCTCCGTCGGACCGGAGCTGGGTTAGTCGGCGAACATATCGGAATAACGTGCAAAAGGAAACATACCGCGCTTCCCTTGTACTTGACGACACTCACTACTACGCTTTTATTACTCCACCGAGGGTCGCCATCTTGTCAGCAGCTGTCGCGTGGTTGAGGGCAAGCGGGTGCACGAGAACTCACCGCTTCTGGCTCTTAATTTTAACATATCTATCATTACTTTTGTTTTGATGCAACAGTCATCTATCCATCCAAATAAACGTGGATTACACTTATAAACACAAAGTGACCATGTTGGTGCTGAGTTCGTCCGCTCTTTTTACTTGATTTAAAAAAATACAAAAATGAACAGAAATGAGTCAAAAGAACGGCAAAGAAACACAAATAGACCAAATATGATTATTTCTACTTGATTATGGCGCTCAACTAACTTTTGGGCCGAATACTTTGCAGTAACATGTTTGAGATCCATATTCAAATACCTGGAATCAAATCAATTTTCAAGTTAAAATTAAGAAGATAATCACATATACTTGTGCTATTTTAAAGTGTTGTGTGTATGTTACAGGATGATTAAAGTGTTTTCTGTCAACTTTCTCCTTTTTGGATTTCCTCTTGACTTCAGTATATTTGGCTGCACACCACAATTTGTCATTGTAAATCATTTTATAATTTAACATTAACGAGCACGTGTCACAAACAGGCAGGGTAGTTTGTCACTTGTGCTTTATTTGGGGAAACAAAATGGACGAAAAAATTTAGAGACTTCACACTGTCATTTCCAACAGGGACATCCGGGTGTTGTACTCCCTTGTGTATGGTGTCTTTATCGAGGAGGAAATTATTTTCGCTGCTTCTATCGTATTTTGGAGTGTAAAAAGTGTGGATAATGTTGATTCGGCGACCAAACAGCACAACGGCTCCGGAAAGCCATACATGCATTCATTCTAGCATGAAAACAAAAGCTGTTTGTGCAAAAATTAGATTTGTAAAACTAATTGCACAACCGTTGACGTCGAGGCTTCCGTAGCCAAGCACCGCGTGACCAGTCAACGCGGAAGTCAAGGGCCGCTGTAAACATTCATGTTGCGGGCTTGTTTGTGCATTTGTTTTCATTAGAACGACGCATCGGAGCGTCTTCTCGCGTCGCGACTGCACTGTGTGCCGCGCGACTTGACAGCCCGTCGTCCAGATTTGGAAGGCGAAAATGTCGCGATTGTGGATCAAGCGTTTCCTCATCTGCGTCACTATCGTGAGCAGCCAGACGGGCCACAACGGAGTTTTTGCCAAATCGTATCGGAGACCGAACATCCTTCTGATCCTCACCGACGACTTAGACGTCGCCATGGGGGGCATGGTGAGGCAATTATGTCCAATGTGCGTGTTGAATTGTTGGGCGGCTGTAGAGCGGACGTTATTAATAACGCATGCCATCCGTGCGTTGTCAAGCCCCGGGTCGTTATACATGTGCATTTTCCGTGCTGTCAATTACCGGCGTTTTAAATAAAAGATGCAAATTCAATGCCCCCCCTCATTCATCAATGAACCAAAAAAGAGAATACCATTATCTAAATAATTTGTTACAGCCTTAATTCAGTTCCTTTTCTCTACGGATAAATAATTAGAAAACATCTTGGTAGTTTGTAGGTGGGAACCCTATAAGGAATAAAGCCTGTGTACTTAATCACTAATATGAGTATCCCAGGTCTTCATAACAATCGCACAACGCAGGGCAAAAAAGTGAGGAATCACGACAGTATCTATCATTTTAACTAATTTAATTGGAGAGACGAAGCGAAAGAAAGGCTTGTTGGTGTAATAATGTGTTTTAACCCAACACTATACTTTCAACACCCTTGACATATTTAAAAGTGTCAGAATGAGTCCAAATTACATACCAATGACATCTTTGTGGTCATGTAATCATGCGTGAGCATTGTCTGTGCGAACATGATTTACTCTGGCAAGGCAGGTGAAGCCAACTAACTGCTCACCGTCACGCACTCACATGCCAGCGAGATGAGTTCACCCGCCACAGGGTCACTGTGGCGCTTCACAAATAAACTTTCAGCCAGATTTCCTGTTTCGCCTCAGACTCCACTCAACAAGACCAAGAAACTCATCGGTGATGCAGGCATCTCGTTCACAAACGCAGTAAGAGCTCGTCACAACTTATAAAATGGCGATGTGGTTTCCACATGTACTCACCCACGCCCTTCCTCTGCATTTGCTAGTTTGTAGCCAGTCCGCTGTGCTGCCCCAGCCGCGCAAGCATCCTGACGGGCAAATACCCGCACAACCACCACGTCACCAACAACACGCTGGAGGGCAACTGCAGCAGCGGGGCTTGGCAGAAGAGTCAGGAGGCGCACACCTTCCCGGCTCTGCTCAAGAATCTGGCCGGCTACCAGACCTTTTTCGCCGGCAAGTACCTCAACCAGGTGAGGCCCCCCCCCTGCCTTCCAATGTCGTAAGCATGAATTCGCACGCTGATGCTTTGTGTCACAGTACGGCCACACGAAGGCTGGCGGCGTGGAGCACGTTCCTCTCGGCTGGAGCTACTGGGTCGGACTGGTAAGAAAATGTGCAGAGAAGGTTTCACACAAATATTTCAATTAGAAAACAGGTGGATGCAAATTCCCTGCGGGATTGCACTCAAAAGCCCAACATCGCTGAACTGTTGGTGAGTTTTCTAACGACTTCTGTCATGTTCTTTGGCCCCCAGGAGAAGAATTCAAAGTACTACAATTACACGCTGTCGGTGAACGGCAAGGCTCAGAAACATGGGGCGGACTACAGCAAAGATTACCTGACTGACGTGCTGGTAAAAAAAAAAAAAAAAAAGATGACATCATTCCTTCCAAGGCCCTGACAAATACAGACGTTTTTGCGAAACTTATTTTTGTGTATAAAAACTGCGAACTTTGATATTTTGTCATATTTAAATCATTTGTTACGGAATAAGTCTAATTTAAAAAAATGGCCCTCTTTTTTTATATTTTGAAAGAGTGTTTTAAATACTGCTTGATGACGAGGTGTAAAATGTGACGCGTGTGTGTTGCAGGCCAACATGTCACTGAACTTCCTGCAGTCCAAATCTAGCTACGAGCCCTTCTTCATGATGGTGTCCACGCCGGCCCCCCACTCACCCTGGACGGCGGCCCCTCAGTATCAGGACCGCTTCAATGGGACCAAGGCGCCCAGGGATCCCAACTTCAACGTCCACGGCAAGGTCGGTTGGAGTCAGCGGGCCTGGTGAAGGAAGACGACTCGCGAACGCACGTAAAACGGTGTCGTTGTCGTGTGTGCCGCAGGACAAACACTGGCTGATCCGACAGGCTCGGACTCCTATGAGCAACTCGTCGGTTGGCTTCCTCGACGATGCCTTCAAGAAGCGGTCCGCCTTCGCCGATGTGTCCGCCGCCCTCCTGGCGGCGAAGGGACGCGCTGCTGTGTGTAACGCTGCGCTGTGGGTGCAGATGGCGGACGTTGCTGTCGGTGGACGACCTGGTGGAGAAGATCGTCAGCAGCTTGGAGGCCAGAGGAGAATTAGACAACACCTACGTCTTCTTCACTTCAGATAACGGATACCACATGGGTAACAGACACTCATAGGCCTAACTAAACATGCCTTTTTTTTAATTCAGACTATCCATGTGAGTACAAAAAAAAATAAAAATCTGACACGCCACTACGTCATATACACATCATAAAATATGAGAACCAAAACCCCATGCTCTAAGGAAACATGTACTTGTCTCTCGAAGACTCCTGCCCAGTTTCTGCGGCGTGGATGTCATGCAGGCGTTTGTCGCATGTGCTTACCTGCAGGTCAGTTTTCTCTCCCTCTGGACAAGCGGCAGCTGTACGAGTTTGACATCCGCGTTCCTCTCCTGGTGCGAGGACCAAACATCAAAGCTGGCCAGACCAGCCAGGTGACTCGCTCACGGCATCTTTTTTCGACCGGGGGGAGGAAAAAAAAGTCACGTTACACGTTTACGATGGCAATATTTGCTCTTTGACAGTTTCTGGTGGCCAACGTGGACCTGGGCCCGACCATCCTGGACCTGGCGGGACTCGACGTCAGCAAGACAGAGATGGATGGCAGCTCCTTTCGGGCCGTGCTAGTGAGCCGCCGCCGCGTTCTTCGCCCAGAGGTGGAGGACGAGAACGCTGTCAATGTCCATGTCGTGTGGCTTTCAGGAAGGCAAAGCCAACAGCAGCTCTTGGAGGAGCGACATCCTGGTGGAGTACGAAGGAGAAGGAAGCAATGTTTCCGACCCCGCCTGCCCTCTGCTGGGCCCCGGAGTGTCCGTAAGAACTTGGCACTTGTCACAGCCGTCCAGTCATTGTTTGTTTGGGATGATGTTTTTTTCACGGCACAAAATAAACTTGAAAGTCAAGGCACCGCCGTCGGCTTTTTACATGAGCATTTGTACTTTTACTCCATTTTACTTGTTCCCCCGCCCACCCGTCTTCTAGGAGTGCTTCCCAGACTGCGTGTGCGAGGACTCGTACAACAACACGTACGCCTGCGTGCGCACCGTGGCGCCCTCAGCCAACCTGCAGTACTGCGAGTTTGACGATAACGAGGTAGCGACTTGGGTTTTTTTTCCCCTCCTAGTTTTCCGCGGCGTGACAGTCTGGCGTTTGGTGGCAGGTGTTTGTGGAGGTCTACAACCTGACGGCGGACCCCTTCCAGCTCAGCAACATTGCCAAGACCATCGACCAGGAGGTCCTGGAGAAAATGAACCATCGGCTCATGATGCTGCAGTCGTGCGCGGGGCAAGCGTGCCGCACGCCCGGCGTCTACGACAATCGGTGCGTTTCCAAAACGTGACCTCGATGACGTGACATATCTGTAGCTCAGTGACTGCCATGTGCGCGCCGCACTAAAATGAAGCCTTTCGCCTTACTTCCTGTCTATTTTTTTTTTTGTACGGTACATTTTTAAGTGGAGTTGAGCAGTTCAAATACATTTGCATTTGATCTTTGAAATTATTTTTGTACTTTTTCAAATTTTTTTTTTAAATCCATCCATTTTCTGATCCGCCTCTCCTCAAGGATGGCGGGGCGTGTTGGAGCCTATCGCCGCTGTCTTTGGACAGTCGGCGGGCTACACCCTGAACTGGTTGCCAGTCAATCGCATTACTTTTTTTTTCATCATCAGTAAAACTGTGTACCTCATGTGCAAGACATTTGGAATAAAATGTGGATGTTTTTTTTAAATCCTCTATTTAAAGTAGTACATTTCAGTTCTGTTGAACTCATCCACACAAAGAATAATTAAAAAAAAAAAAACTATTTTGCGACTCACCTGTTTTGTTTTCTCATCAGCTTTAAATTTGAGCCCCGTCAGATGTTTGGCAGCCACAAGTGGAAGTTGAGCACGCTGCGACAGAAGATGAAGTGAAAACGATGACGCCACAAACTGAGGACTCCGCCCTCTTGTTGCCTTGCTTTCCTGGATGAAGGGATATAGTTGCCACCCACTGGCTAAAAAAAAAAAAGAGCTGCATTAGCATTGATGTGGAGTCTAACTATGCGTTTGACATCTGCTTTTGTGTGTGTGTGTTTGTGTGTGTCACACAAAAGTAATCCAAATGTCATACAGTACAGCTCAGGATGTCCCGATACCATCCTCCTGGACATGGTTTTATTCACCGTACACACATTCATATAGACTCTAGAGTAGATTTATTGCATTGTTCAGAAGTGAAAGGTAAAGTGTCACTTTTTCACTGTAAAAGAGTCCAAAGTGTTTGAATGGACATGTTTGCTCTCTTTTTGCGACAGATTTTTCTTGTGAAAAGTTTGATTCTGGAAGATTGAAGGGGATGCATGTTCGGGGGAGGGCTTCTCCAATTTTGGGGGGTCCAGTCGGGGAAGGGCCTCCTCCTCATTGTTACACCAATTAAACGACCCATAAAAGTTACTTATCCGCCACAAAAAAGTTACGATAAGCAGTTCACTCTTTTTTGAAACAAAAAAAGTTGCAAAATAAGGAGAATAAAAAAGCTTTCATTTCTTTCCAACAAAAAAATTACTTTGAGATAAAAAAATCTTGCAAGAATAAAGGCAAATTAATTTTCTCGAAATAAAAGTTTTAATGTTGCAAATTTCAATTTGTGCATTTTTCTCATTCCAAAAAGAGAAGAACAAAAAAGGAATTTTCGGTCCGAAAGTTGAGAAGCAGAGTCTTAAGGTGACAGGGTGAAAAAAGAAAAACGAACAAAACTTTCCCTAACTGTGAAAAGGTGCAAGGAAACTTTACCGTTGCTGGATGGAAGGAGCACCGATGACTCGGAATGTCCGCAAGACTGATTGGTTCTGTAAAATTGTATTTTGTGTCCACCGGATGCACTTTTGCTCGTCTCGGTTTTGTGCAAATAAAATATATTTCATCTATCAAGACGTCACGTGGTTTATTTTGTCACTAAAACAAACCAAAAGAAAAGTTTGATCTCTCGGGTCTGAATATCAGAGACAGCTTCACTTTCGATATGAGTAGTATAACTTTTTCACCATGTGGTGGCGCTCTGAAACACCCTTTGAGCCTTTCCTGTTTTGCAAAGCCAGCTCTCCTGCTGAAATGTCCAAGTACGAGCATGTGTGTATCCAACTCAACTTTTGTCCCCGTGCTACTTTAAGTCTATCTGTACGCTCCGTCCTCACCACCAGCACAGTTGTAAACGAGGAATTGTTCGACGAGTATGACAAAGATCGGACAAGTACACGGACCAGAAGCAGAATGCCGGGGAGATGGACTGAAAGTTTTTGTAATCAAAGATACTAGTGTGTGACGAGTAAGGCCAAAAGTGGCACCAATAAAAAAGGGATGGCTCAAGAATCCCCCATCAGAAGGCGACTAGTGCGAAATGGACTTTCCACAGTGACGCTAAGAACACGAAACCAACCTGCATCCTCCACGGAAGTTTGTTTGTTTTTGTTTTTTTTTTTCGGGTTATTTCTTTTCCAGTCCGAAATGAGTTGGCGTGTCAACGGTGTTGCCATCACGAGTCGAGGGTGACGACGGGCAGGAAGGGCAAGTTGGTGTTCCCCAGGAAGGTGCGTCCGCCGTGCTGGAACACGTCGCTGATGGCCCACGTCAGGCGTCCTTCAGGGTCGTGCATGGAGCCCACCGGACGTCCGTCCGCGTCCAGCTCCAGAACGAGAGCGTAGCGCGGCAGCAGGACCTCGTACCAGCTCAGCGGGACCACCTGAAAAGGACGGAGCGCACACACCAAAATATCGTGACGCGCTGGTCACCTGGTGAGCCCGTCCCGCCTCACGGTACAGACGGTGGGGGGTTCCAATGTGGGATTTCCCACGTGCTCTTCTCCCAGCAAGAGAATCTGAACGCAAAGGACGCGCACCCACCTTGGCCAGGAAGCGTTTGACGGCGGGGTACGGCGCTAAGGCGTCCAGGAAGGGAGGCAGGAAGGAGCGCAACCGCGGCGTGGTGATGCCCACCAGGAAGGTTCCGCGCCTGCTCACGCGGATGTTGTCCGGGTATCCGATCATGTTGTCCAGCACCGTCTCGGCCATGCCCGTCTTCGGACCTCGCAACCAGTACCTGAGAGGGCAGAGGGGAGCGCGCGCACAAACACACCGACAACTTCATCGACACTGCGTGGGCGTGCGAGGTGAGCGCGCAGCCTACTTGAGTATGCGTGCGACGCTGGTCTCAGCCACCAGGAGGAATCGGCCGTTGGGGTCCAGCGCCAGGCCGTTGGCCATGTAGAGGGAATCCAGCAGGACGCTCACTCGGCCCGTCTCGGGCTCGTAGGACAGAAGGCGACCAAGGCGGTTCAGCTCCATCACCTCAAGGATCAATGAGGACAACATAAATAATATTTCAATGAAAACTGATTAAATCAAGTCAGGCCAAGGAGGATGTACTCTTTTTTTTTTATTTTTAAATCGATGGCTGGTAACGAATGGCAGCCTCCAAGAGTACTTGATACCTTAAAATATGGCCGTTTCTGCCCAGGTACCTGCCTCTTCCTAATTGATGCCATTGTTACCAAGCTGTAAAGGAGCCTCAGGTAAAAGGATATTTTCCTCAATCTTTTTTTTTTTCTTCTTGTTTTTGCGTTTTGTGGTTGATGTCTCACCTCCAGCTTGACATGTCTGCGTCCCCAGCGACTGGAGGAGTCGGTGAAGTAGATGATCCCCGTTTGGGAAGAGATTTCCAGGCCATTCAGGAAGGCGAAGGGGACGCCGTCAGCGCCTGCAGACAAAGAAATAAAAACAAAACAAGTCATGTCAGTTAACTTCCTCAATGTGAAAGGTGGTCCACATACAAAGACGTTGTCGTGTGTCAACCTTGCGAGTTGGCCACCAGTAGCATCTTGCGTCCGCTGCGTGGGTCCACGCTGTACAGTCCCAAGTAGGCGTCGACCACGATCAGGTTGCCGTGGCGATCCAGACGCACGCCGTGAGGGCGGCCGCACACCGGCTCAAAATGTGTGCCGCTGCCTATGCGCAAAAACGTTTGGGGGTCACCCGCGGGCCGGTGTTCGCCGGCGACCAAAAGGACGAAGCCACCGACCGCATTCGGGCAAGTCGCGCCCCATTTGTGTGATGAAGGTCAGACTGTCGTCCGGTCCGATTCGCCACAGCTTCCCGTCCACCGTCCCTGTGTACACGTTCCCTGAACAAAAACACACAAAGGCACATTGGACTTAGTCAGTACAGGTCTGGGAGGGGAAACAAGAAGATAAAGACAAAGGGGTGCAAAGGTTTTTCGCTCACCCTCTTTGTCAGCATCAAAGGATTCTGGTCCGTGTAATTTCCCCTCAAAGAGTCTATGGCCTTTCTGCAAGCGCGTATTGGCGGCCAGCGGACCCTCAAGGGCTGGGGGAGGACCTGGAAGCCTGTTGCACCACAACACTGTGTCTAAGAGTGCATGGGGGAGTGTGGACCCAGACAGGTGAGGGCTGAAGGATCGTGCGCGTACTTACACGTGCGGCTTGGGGTCGATGGGTGAAGGCAGCAGGTACAGGCCGACGGCAAGCGCCAATATAACCACGCACACTGAACGTCCACGCCACCTGACCAAGGAATAATCACGGCCACCAGGTTTGCAGTCTCACAGCCAAACAAAGTGACTGCGGTGTGTACGTGTGCCATGCAGCAAATAAGATCTTATCAGATTGGATTACTGAGAAACACACCCGTTTTTGTTAAAATTCGGTTGATGTGAATTGAGCCATATCACCAAGACCCAAGTAGTGCTTTGACACCACATATATCGGCAATTTGAAACCTTTTTGTTGGGGGGGGGCGTTAATCATGTGCAGATTTTCGCTATTTGCGACAAGACTTAGTTCCTCAAACCGCCTTTAAAATCACAGCTGTGAATAAAACTGCTGTCAGCAAGGGTGTTAAGGGTCTTTAAATGTTTCAACAGACTCACCAATTAACCGAACGATCGAGCCTCCGACATGTTTGCCGCGCAATAGGAATTTAAATTATCATCTGTGCCTTCATACCACACACACAATACGACTCATTGTCGTCCAAACTCGGTCCTCGGTCCCAAAATTATTCTAAAATTAATTAATTATCGTTAAATTGTCATAAAACGATAAATTATGAGTAGACTATTGATCAAATTCAATTCCATTCACGCATTGTTGGGCGAAGCCAATTGGTCGACCAACTTTGTTCTGCTTCGCGACAAAATTCTTCGCGCCATTAAAAAAAAAATTAACGATACGAAACGTAAACAACCCAGTGCTGTCGTCAGTCTTTTGACGAAACACGCCGACCGTTTTGAACGAGACAAACGACGATAAAAAACGTGAAAACTTACATTACTGGCAAACGTAAAAATGTGAAAACTTACATTACTGGCAAACGTTTGTACTGTGGCACTCTTGAAATGAAAAGAGCGTCAGATGGCATCAAGCCTGAATGTTTTTACAAGTCACGTATCCGCATATGACCTTCACAATAAAGTGTTCTGTGTGCGGGTGCTCGTAATAATTTACACATGATCAAATACATATTCAAGAGAGTCGTGTGATTATTAGTATAGTTATATATATAATTTATACGCAGATATTACTCACGCTAAATACTAAACAAAGACCATTATCTTTTTCTTTTAAAGGCTAAGTGACGTTTACCTGTTGCTCGAAAACTTCTAACTTGACTACTTGGCGTTGCACGTGTGGCGCAAAAGGGGCGGGGCTGTGAATTCAGAGTGAGGTCAAATTGAGGTCAAGAGGAGGACTTTCTCAAACAAAAACACTTTTTCAAACAAAGATAAACGCGTCGTTCTTAATTTAAATGTCATTTTAATAGCTGCACAGCTCTCCTTTCCAGCGGAAGGTGACCATTACAACAAATACAACTTTTTTTTCTGCAGATGCTATTGAACAAAAATAGAAAGGCACTGCTGAGGTTTTCTGATGGACTAACTTCTTCCTTGAATATGGCTTAAAGGCTTTGAAATCAGCAATAAATCAACGTCGATTAGAATTGTGATGACAAGCTGCGCGACGTCTCTCGTCGCCTCACACTTGTTGAATGTCCATTTCCAAAACAATAAAACAGCCTTTGGATCACACGTTGCCACAGTAACACAATAAGAACTGATTCAGTGTATACTCTCTAAATGGCTGCCTACGAAAGCCATTCAAACAAGAATAAAAAGAGGATTTGAATTGATCAAAACAAAAAGTTAACATCCCGTACAAAGCCCCCCCCCCCAAAAAAGACCAACCAATCGACCCTGAATTTCAATCATTTAAAGTGCCCCCCAAAAACAAAAACAGAAGACTTGAAGTTGATACAACTGATGTCAAGTTCAGCTTACAATAACACACCACGCATGATACGTCTTTCCATGGAGACGTTAGAATCAAATACGGAAGCACAGAAAGGCCAAAATGAAAACAAACTTGCAAATTATACCATCCAGTATTAAAAGAGAAAACGAGAAAAACAATCGCCTAAAATGCCCTGTTATATTGACTGGGCCTGTAACCTTCTGAAAATTTCATAATGCCCTCTTTCGTTCTGCTTCTGACCATTCGATGCTTCCGTGTAAAGCCAGTGTTTAATAGACATATAATTCATTTAAATAAACCTCTATTCGATATATTCTGCATCTACTATTTTTTCCTTTACTTTTTTTTTTTTTTTTTGCACCAGGCAACACCACAAAATAATCTTTGGTTATATCGAGCGAATATAAGAAAAAGAATACAAACCTAAGAGAGACAAGTTGGGAGTCGTCGCTGCGTTTGTAACGGCGAATCACCCCCCATGCCCTCCGCATTACTCACAAAAAGTTGGGCGAAATTTCATGATGAACCTAAAATGCATAGCTTAAGGTAAAAGCATATTTTGGATTCAAACTAAAAATACACTCAAAAGCCCAACTTCACGCACATTCCGTGCCTTATTTCTCTTGGCGGTTCATCACAATTCCCCGTCATCCCACCCAAAAAGAGGCGTGCAGCAGGTGTTCCTTGACAGATCATCAGCGTTCACTTGCCAGACGGGACAAAAGCTACGGTGTCGCCAAATGCTATCAGGCCACCGCAGATGCTTTTCGGTCTTCTATTGAGTGACGTTTCTATTCTACTTTCTCTATTCCGCGTCGTCTACCTCCTGAATCCGCTCCATGCAAAGCACAATCATCCCGAGGGCGTGATCAAGTGTTCCATCAAATCCAACTTTCTCATCTTCCCATCTTAACTTCTTGCTCTTTGTTGTTCTCCTCTTCTCTGCTTTGTGATTGTTTCGCCGCCTGTGCTGAAATAAAATAAAAAAGCTCCACCCATATAAATTAGGAAAATAAAATCTGTGCAGAGTGTAGTGAGGGAATTAAATAAGTCTTTTGTAGGCTTCATGGCACATCAGTCCGAAAAGTCCACACGCCTCTTCTTTGCCACGTTATTGGGGGGGGGGAGATAACGCCATGCTCCTGGGGCAGGGGGCTCTTTCAAGTTTTATGGGGTGCCTCCCCGCACCTCTCGCAGTGCCTCCTTCAGTCTGTGGCGGTAGAGGTTGTATCGACGCAGCAGCGCCTCCTTTTGTTCGTCCTCCTCCTTGTCCAGGATACGCAGGAAGTTGCGCAGCTCCGGGATGGAGAAGGCGTCCCACTGATGGCGCAACAGTCGCAAAATCAGGAACTCCCACGACAACAACATTGCATCTCAAGACCAACAGTGGCACCTTGACTTACAAGTTGAATTTGTTCCGTAATTTATTTGTGTGGAGCAATTGACGCTCCCCTGAAAAGGTTTCTAACGGCCTATGGATGCCACAAGATGGCAACTGAGCACTTTCCATGCGAACAATTGGTAAGTCAAGGAGGCAGCGTTGGGTGCACGGCGAGCGCGAACGAGCGTTACCAAGACTTCCCCGGTCTGTTGCTCCCGCAGGACGAAGCCCAGCGTGTCGTCGTCGGGTCCCGCCACCAGACGGAGAAACAGCGGCTGCTCCCCATCTGACAATTTACACACATACACTACACACACACCACGCACAAATATGGTTGATTGTGAGCTGCTTTTATTGAACAACGCCAATTTTCTGAAGCAGTCTAGATCTTTTTTTTTTTTATTAGCCACTAAATGCTCATCAAAGCTGAAACTCCGGGCAAAATCACCATCTTTCTATTTACAGGCAGGATTCAACACCATGCCACAAATAGACACAGGCACACACGCCCTGCCCTGCATGTCAGCGCACACAGTCACACGTGTGCGCGTACGGAGTGTCTTACCCTGCTCCTCTCGACGATATCGTTTGTACAGGGCGTACTTTGCGGGGTTGTCGGCGACGGTGAATTTATTGAGCAGGGCCACGATCACCTGAAGACAGCAAAAAAAATGACTTTGGCGCTTTGGACTGTCGGCTTTGGAAGGATGCTCTCAGAAGAGATGCCGCGCACCTGTCTGACGGTGTTGTGCGAGCTGATGTGCAGGGTGTTGCTGACTCCCCTCGGCAGGTAGAAAGCCTCGCTGGCCCCCGCCGCCGCATCCCCGCTTCCCGCCGCCGGTGCCCTCCGGCCGGCGCGGACCGTCACCGGCCTCCGCAGGTCCATCTGGACCTTGATGAAACCCGTGTACACGCCGCTGGAAGCCTGAGCCCAACACAAAGCCGACAGCGGCCCGCTGATTTGAGTGTGTCAAGGACAGATGGCCTCGGAGGACCGCACGCCGCCGGCCTTTTAATCTCATTACTTCATTAGAGGCCCGGTTAGGGGTTTGTGTGTGTGAGTGTTTGCGCGTGCACAGAACAAGATCAACAGGATGCCATACGGAAAAGGAGGAAGCGCGAAATAGCACGGCAAGATAAAACGATAGAATGACAAAGACGGATGCTCACCAGGGTCATTTTGAGGTGGTCTCTGGTCAGCGTGTTGTACTCTTCGATCTTCTGCCTGATTTCTTCGCGGCTGAACTCGGTGCGCAGCTTGCTCTCCTTGTCCACATCCTGAGCACAAGCGCAAACCAAACGTCGCCATTAGTCAGCGGCAGCAAACACCACCCGAACACGCAAACGGCGGCCCGCAGCAACAAAGCTCGGATGATGCCAACAGAGACTTCGGCCATCTCCCAATACTTTTGTCCGCCGCCCGCTTGCGCTTCAGCGTCTCCATTGCCACAGCCCAAGGGTTGCCCCTGTCAACTGTATGGATGATCCCATCAACTAGTAGGCTAAAACTAGAAGTTGTCTTACTAAACAACAAAAACTGGCGTTTCAGATGGTGTTATCGCTGACTTTTGAGTGTGTGCGGCTTTTGCAAGGCGGGGCCTGGCCTGGTGAGTGATGCGGGCAGGTGAAAGCGGAGTTGACGGTAAGCACGGCTCAGCGGCAGGCTGCTCATCGGCAGACCGTTGCGTACGCACAATTACAACGGGGTGCGCTTGATTTTAGACTAAGCTACGCTCGCATCTCGCTAACTAACGCATCAAAGGAAACTTCGGGGCTGCCACAGTACCTGTCGAGATCATCATGTGGCGTGTTGTGTATCCCCGCAGGATATGGCCACATGACGCCACACAAACGCACTCGGCACGCTGTAGTGGAAGCCAAGTTTCTGCTATTATTTCTTTTTGTGTGCGTGCGCGTTGTCTGCGCTTAAAAGGGCAACACACTGCTCTGCTCTAATGAAACACACACACACACACACACACACACACACACACACACACACACACACACACACACACACACACACACACAGCAGGAGTGTGCTTGGAATGGGATCCTTATATGGCAAAGACACAGCTGGAGGAGCACCGCACGGGCACACTTGCAAACGCAAACACGTGGTGTGCGTGAGCCCTTTTTTTAAATTATTGACACACATCAGCCTTTTCATCGGTGGTCGCCTAGGAGGTCGTGGAAGCAAGCACGCTCGGCTTCTTCTTTGGAGAACTGCGAGTGAGAGTCTTCATTTTCACAAAGTGACGTGATGCGCTCGCCTCTCATTTCTTTCCAACAAAATGAGATGCTGAGGCTGTGTTTTATTCTGTTTAACAGTGGGTTCAAACTACTCGGCTGGGGAGTGTTTCAGTCAAAGCCACCTTTGGCCAAAGGCAGTCAGGCGTCATGTGAGCTCACAGTCACGTTTTAATCTCACATATGCTAACCTCGACGGCTGAATTCAGTCTGAAGGCTGGATGTCCTCTTATCTTCGCTCACACACACACACACACACACACACACACACACACACACACACACACACACACACACACACACACACACACACACACACACACACACACACCTGCGGCATCGCCGCCTTTATGTGCCTGTCTGCACGGAAACCGATGAAGTCATCACATGCTAGGCTACACTACGCCGTGCTGTGGGAACAACAAACACTGTCTTTGACCGGCTAAAATGTAACATTTACACAGCAACCCACTTCTGACTTCATGTTATTTATTTACTTTGGTGTAAAAGTGTCCCTCCTCCTCCTGGCTATGTTACTTCCTGTTGCGTCCACAGGGGGGAAGTCAAGATGGACCACACCTTTCCACATTCCTCCATTATTTGGTGAACACACACACACACACACACACGCACACGCACACGCACACGCACACGCACACGCACACACACACGCTTCCATCCTAGAAACTGAGCAAAACAATCAAAAATCCTGAAAGTAGAAGTGAAAGCTGCCAAATGAAGTTCAGACCACTAATGAAAAAAATTACAAGCGACGCAGTCTACTGACACAAAGCCATAACAGACTGCCGGACCACCCAGCAAAAGAAAGGGGGGAAAAAAAAGAGCTCACGAGAGTAAAAGGGGAGAACCTAAAGCAGGAAGACGACACGGGTGGGCAAGAACAGTAAACATCAAGACCACACTAAGGAAGTCGGTCACCTTAATGCAGCCATTCACAGTGAGTGTGCTGCGGGAAGCCAGACAATCTCACTTAAATGTTCCAAACTCGGGCTTCAGCTGTTGAAGATTTTTAAAATTGAGTATTCCGGCGTTTATCCTGTTGATTAATCGGATAAAAATGGATTTTCCACGGTTAAAAAAAAAAAAAAAAAAAAAACTTGCAGGTGAGTTGCCACTAATAGTTTAGTTTTCCTGTGGCATCTGTGATTTGGAAGTTTGTATGGCTTTAAAAGGTGAGTGATGTGGGTGTCAGCGAACGACGGTGCAGAGCTAACTGACTACGAACAATGTTATCTTTGGTCCTCCATCTCGGCCAGTGGCGTGTAGCGGCAGGCAGACCAATTCAGCGATGGACCACTAGATGGTAGAAGGTTCATCGTGTGGACTGGTGCGCCTTGAGATCATTGCCAAGTAAAAACATTTGCCCTTGTGCAAGACTGCCTTATGAGGAGACTAAAATGGCGAGCGAGTCACGTCTGACGCAAGCGCCATCATTCACGAGATCAAAGGCACATTATAATAAAGCAACTTGGGACGGACAGAGCGTTCCTGAACATCTCAACATGGCAGACCGTTTGAGTGTCTCTTCTGGAAAACGTCTGACAGGCAGACGCGCTGATCTGATCAAATCACAAAGATGTTCAAAGTACTCCCTTTGATTGCCGGTGACGACGACGGCGCTAATGTCAGTCATCCAGCAGCGGGAAAAACCCCCCTTGAACACGCAGCCACAAGTTAACCAAAACACCAGCTGACGGATGCTCCCGAAACTGCAGTAGCACCACCACCATCATCATCATCATCATCAACGGATGACAGACAGCACCCTGGGCAATTTGTCGGGCATGCCGAGGTGCCAAATGACACGGTGAGGTTTTAACTGCGCTTCTGCGTCGCTTTCAATCACAAAGCTTTCTGTGGCGCGCGTCTTCTGCTGCACTCCTTGAGCCACTTTAAGCTCGGGCCACGCGCGCGCATGCACTCTTATCTCCTTGGACCGCTGTGGCGCAGCCGCTGTTGAGAATACAAAGACACCTCTTGCGTTTTGCCTGGGAAACCTGCAGCACACAAACAATCTCGTAAAATGTTTACATACCCTGTCATCAAAACCTAAGGTCAGAAGCAAATAAATTCAAAAAGAGTGGAGGCTGTGTGCTCACAAAAGCAAAGAACACGGCCGTGTGCAAGCAAAGGGAAGTGACGTACAATAGAAAGATGGAGGAAGGAAGGAAATCTAGAGCGGGAGAATGTGAGACGGTGCGTGGAGGATGATCTCACAGGGTTCCACTGTAGTCCAAAATGTTAAGTCAGTGTTTTTTCTCATGTCTAATTTTAGTTCCTATGCGTAGCGGGCTGCGTTGGCGGACGACGAAGACGTGAAAAGACGCAGTCACTGATAAGAGCACTGCCAGATGGAAAAACAGACAACGGAAGAATGAGGTGGAAGGTTCTGGGCCGTGATGATTGAAAAGGGGGCGGGGGAGAAAAAAAAAAAAGAGGATGCAATACAAAGATGGGGCAATATGTCCATGGCGCAAGCACGCCGCCACGCTGTCTGGCAATCGCCCTTGCAGACGAAATGCGTGAAACACGCACTTGGACCCGCAGAGGAGATGCGCAGATAACAAATGATCTCACACAAAGCCGCTTGCTTTTATGTCCCCAAATACCAGCAGAAAAAAAAAAAAAACTCACCGCCCGAAGTTCACGGAGTTTTTTGTTTTGTTTTGGGGTTTTTTTGCAGGCCAACCAACTGGTATGTGAGTCAACGTCCTGCGCGTCTTTATGAGGCCACCAGGGTGTTAATGATTTACGTTTCAGCTCATCGACCAACCTTGCTGCTTGAGCTCTGCCAAATTCAGCTTTGAATACTTGGAAATGTTGGCGAAAAGGAGCAATTCACTCGAAATTTTCTGCTTCTGGGCTTTTTTTTTTTTTTTAAACATCAGCTGACTTTTGCCTGGTTTTGTGAGGAGCACACTGAAGACGATGCGGACAAGCTCCCGCTCAACACACACATGCAGCATGCTAGTAAACCACATGAAAGGGCCCAAACAAGCGGTTGAGATGCGCCAAAACACACTGCCATGCATCACTACGATCAGAAAAACCCACAAACACGCATCAGTTTGTGTCAGTGTGTGTGTGTGTGTGTGTCTCATGAAGATACGGAAGATCATCTGGCAAGACACACACACACGCGCACAGCTGTCAGTCAGTGTGACATTTGCACACAGAGACGCCTTTGTACATGGAGCTTGACAATGTGTGTTATTTGTAAGATTTTCTCCATTTTGTGTCTTTGCGACGGGATTTAAATGAACTGCTTGTTTATTTAGTTCCAGATCATTTCCACCCCCCACCCCCTTCTGTTAACGAAGTATGTGACAGTGATGTTCATTTGAATGCGCTCTCTCTGTCTCTCAGCGTTTCTTAGCGCTCCCCATCGCTTTATTAAATGTCACACAAAGTTTTGCCATCACCCGGGCGACGTGCCGATTAAAACCCGCGGAGTTTTGCTCAGTTTATAGGTCGTGTTGCTTCATGTGTGAAAAGAAGAATCTTGAGAATCACCCAAACATGTTTGCTAATTGCCGTAAGACGGTTTCACATATGTTAGCGTTAAGCTCGTGGGCTTGTGATCGATTGAAGTAGATGGTTTGCTTGAAGGGTGAAATCGTGGCGAGTAAAACTATCAAAGGAATCTCTCTTTCTAATCACAGATTTTCATTCCCCGCCGTGGGAGCACACGATGCCCTTTAACTGCATGGACGAACAACACTCATAAAGTCACAGGCAGTCATTTCACACAAATGCTGTCTGGGGTCCCAGCCCCCGCTGGGGCTGTAATTAGTGCTGGCATGTGGGGGGGCGTTCTGACCGCCAAACGACGGCAGGCGTCCCGCTGTGGGCCCGAGGCCACATCTTAAGGGGGCGGCCGGCCGTGACCTCCCTTGGGGAGAACTCTGTGGGCCGCATTGTGCATGCACACGCGCGGTTGCACGAAAGGGTCTGTTCGGGATGAAGGAGCGCACATTTGGCACACAGATTTCCACAAATCACTTTCCGTCACAGCCTTGAGATCCACAAAGTGTGCAAGAAACCAGTGAGCATCCTGGGAATGTGTTGATGCATTACCAAGGATAACTCGCCGTCCATGACCTGAAGGCCGCACGCTCTTCTAGGACTTTACAACCAAAAACTACATTTCGGGTGGAGTTAAGTATGATTTAGTGTGGAGCGGGCTTCTGTCTCATTTCCTCAGCTCATGTCTGTGAAAAGTCATAGTAACAGCGGGCAACATGATACTTTGTGGCCACCAGACTTTCAGGTTCAACATGCATGGGGGGGCGCGGGTGGGGAAGGAGGGGGCGTTCGTCACCCTCAAAACTGGTTGCTCAGTGGTACTTGTCACCATGCAATCCAAACTGCGTTGGACATTTGGTCCATTGAAGAATGACTGACACATTCGTGACATTTGGAGGTATAATGGAAAATCAAATAGACATAGTATGGAAAGCTGAGGGTAATCTAGCGAGTTCGTCCTTCAAATTAACAGGTTTATCACTTGACTCCTCCATTATTAGGAGTGATGTTGGGAGGGACAGGTGGAGCATCCCTTTAAGTCCATTTAAAATGGTGGCGCTTCATGTCTGTCTTCAAACGTCACGTCAGAACGTTTGACACGGAAGTTGGCGAGGTGTACGTCAATGTTTACCTTGCTCTCTGTGACTTTGCCCAAAGGTTTTTTGAAAAAAGAAGTCCTGGCCGTGAAAAAGTATTCCTCGGAGTCGTCCTCCAAGCTGCTGTAGCCACTGCTCATGGTGCTCTTCCACGTCATTGGCGAGGACAATCTTCTCGTCTCCAACTCGGCCGCATCAAACTACTTGCCGGTAAAAGAAAAGTGGCCATTCACTTGAAAAGTAAACCAAAACGTAGTTAGGCGCAGTTCAAACGCTCGCTTAGGTCGACGCTTTCTTGTTTCGCGATCATTTCCGCCTTCCAAGCCGCTCACCAGCCTTCTTCCCCGCGGTCGCTCCGCTCCGCCGGCGCGACTCCTTTAACCGTCCCCATCTTTGAAAGAAAAGTGCCACTGTTGGTTTTCACACCAACATATATTCACCGAAGTTTGAATTTGTAGACTTTCAAGTCGATATACCTTGGGGAAGTTGTAGTTTCACAACCTGACGAGCAGCATTGGAGCAGTTGGAGCCGACTGTTAGAAACTCAACGCTGAAGAACGCATACAGTAAGACCACGCCCTCTACGAGAGCTATCTGGTAGATCAGCCAATAGCAAACAACCTGCCAAGTCCCGCCTGATACACGACGACCAACCAATCAGCGCCCGAATAGCTGTTGCTTGCGTCACTGCTACGGAAGTAACCACAATATTAAATCATTTAAAAAATGTAAGACTAAGTGAAAATTAACCAGCGCAAAGCCCATAGGCAATGCAGTTTTCTTCGGAAACTGATACTTACGGCGACTGTGCAATCCTGCATATTCACAACAAGGTCTTTAAACACACACACACACACACACACACACCACACCACAGGGAGGAATACGGTTACCCACGTTCCTAAAATAAAAGGTCAGCAGCAGTTTGCCACAGCTGTGCGTGCCACTGCTGCAACATTAAGCATTGCAAGCACTCGCTCACAGAAGGATACAACAAAGTTTTCTTCGTCATTGTGGCCATTTCACGCCCGTTTGCTGACTTCAAATGATGTCACAATAAGACTGTCTGAGTTGGAAGACTTCATTCTTACTGGGCAGATGCATGGCCTTTATTTCACACAGGTGCACTAAAAAGCCACAAGCCACAAAAACACAGGTTGAGCAAGTTGAGCTGTGGAACAAAATGTGCGTATGCACTAAATCATGCTGAACACGCCAGCACCACCCCAGGAGATGTTTCGAAAAGGCGTTCATTTAAAAGGGCCAAAAATAAACGTGGCACAAAAGGCGCGCCAAGCCACCATCCATCGTCTTGTCCTTTCGCCAAATCCAAAACACACAGGGGCACACAAGCTCGTGTAGACACTGGTGTACACACGCACGCACACGTACACACGCTTCAGATAAGCAGGCCTCGCTTTTGACCTTTCCCTTCGCAATAAAGAATACAAGACAGAAGAAACAATTCTGTCATTCATCTGTGCAACTGTGTCTGCAAAGTGTGACATGTCATTTGTGGTGGGGTTTTTTTGTTGTTTTTGTGAGGCTGTTCCTTTAATTCACTTTAACCTCAACGTGAAAAAAAATGTCGTGATTTACGGTTGTGTGTGTGCTCCCAGGTGTTGAATAACTGAGATCTCCTGCCAAAAGGCCTCAGGAGTTCGGAAGTCGATCTTCAAAGTGTGTGTGTGTGTGTGTGTGTGTGTGTGTGTGTGTGTGTGTGTGTGTGTGTGTGTGTGTGTGTGTGTGTGTGTGTGCGCGCGCCTTTTCATTTGCCTTTTCCCTGACGTGTCCATGCATGTTACATTTTGCATGCAGCCACTATGAAACAGAATTATCTTTGACCCCTTTGCAGATTTACCCCGTGTAGGACTAATAAAGGTTATCTTATCTTAATTTGCTCTGTTTTGAATATTATGATTGCCAGGAAGCGAATCTCAAACTGAGGTTTAAAGATAACAGCAAACGCACACACACAAACACAAACACTTATGCGCACACTCGCGTACACAGAGCGAGTCTCAGGTCCCACCCTGATAGAGATCATTGTTTCTCTTTCAACCTCCCCCAAACCGAGCTGGAAAAATCACTTTTAGGGCCGAGGTGTGGCCTTTCCTAAAAGTTGCGCAGAAGCAGGTTAGTGGCCAAAGTGGAGCTGCGAGGGGAATCCTGCAGCATGAAAGCCCAGCAGGCTGACCCACATGTCTGAATGGAGCTCCAAGCCAGCCGGCGACAACCTCCGCATCATCTGCCAGGAGATTACATTTGGCGGATAAACCAACTGCCAGCCAGGGAGGGGGAGAGAAGGGGGGTAGACGCAGGTCCGAGCCCGCCCTCACCAACACGCCATTCAAACACTTGACCGAAGCCGTCGTTTGTGGAAGCAAAGAAATATAAAGCAGAACTCTGGAAAATCTTCATTTCACCAGAAGGAGTTCTTATTTTACCATTTTAAAACGTTTGATCATCTCTGCGATGTCATGATGGGAATGTAAATTAAAGTTGAGATAAAAATATTGCTCAACGTAAAAAACAAAAAGATGCTGCAAAGCAGTCGACGCGTCTGTTGTCAAAACACGCAAAAAAGGGAAGCTTTGTCTGTCCTGACCCGCATGCGACCCGCTTAATCCTCAAAGATTATTCCTCAGCGTCTGCCATAATTCATGTCTGACACACTTGCGCGCGTGTGTGCGCGCACACACACATACACACACACACACACACACACACACACACACACACACACACACACACACACACTGGACAACAATGCATGTGCACAGTTCAATTGTGACATATTTGGTGTGTGGAGGACATGTTCTTGCAGGTTGCACACAGTTTACCATCATTGCTCTTGATGAATCTTATCGCTCCAAACATAAAAGATGGAATACGAGCCAAGCCTGAACAAGAGCTTTATTTAAGGAAGCTGCTCAGCATGGTTGGACGAGCCGGGCGGACGTCACACGCTCACAACATGCGCTCTGTTGACACTTGATTACATTCA